TTCAAGGTCAGTGCCCACCTGAAGAGGCGGTAGCTGAGGTGTACGGTGGCCAGAGGGCCAATAAGGTGCCAAGGACGGGTGACATGGAATTGCTGAATTTCAGGGCTGGCGAGGGACAGGAAGCCCAGCCAACCCCTCATCTAGTGATGGGGAGACAGGCCCAGTGAGGGAAGGGGACTTGCTCAGGGTCACTCCCGAAGCTCGGGCCCGCTGTGCCCACCAGCCCTGGCCTGACAAGTGCCCAGGTCTAGTCTGGTGGGAGCAGTGCCACTTCCCTAGAACCAGGCTCCTCTGAGCTGGGATGCCCTGCCTGACCTGGCACCGGGAGCAGTCTAGACTGGGTGGAGATGGTGGAGGGGGTGCGGGCCCACAGTAAGGGAGGGAGATGGGGAGTGGGGGCGACCACACAGAGGACTCACTGGCCCAGGTCTGCCTCCTCCTCCATCTGGCCTGCCTTGGGGTGTCTGGCTACAACATCCCTGCTCCCACCCGGCCGGCCGCTAGTGCCCTCCAGAGACCTGACGTGATCAGGAAGGGCTGGCCCTGTCCTCTGGGCCACAGCAGGAAGTCAGCATGAACCGTACCCAAATCCTCTGCACAGGTCACGTCCAGCCTCCCCTGAGCCTGGGGAAGCTCGACAGGCTTCAGAAAAGGCCCCTTGTCGTGTGCCAGAGTCCCAGGGGCCACTTTCTCCTGACTGCAGGCAGCTGGGCATGGTGGCAGCCCTCAGTGCCCATCCTGATTCCGTTATGACTTGTTAGGTGAGCAAAAGCAAGTCCCACCCACTCTGGGCCTCAGTTTCCCCATCTGCACCATGATAGGGATTCAGCTTGGAGATGCTGAGGGTCTGACAGCCTAAAGCTCCCAGAACCCTACTCCCCATGCCTCCTCACGCCCCCACCCAGGGCCTCTTGCGCTTTGTCCCAGGGCCCGGCAGAGGACAAGGGCAGGGACAGACAGGGTGCTGGGGGCCGCGCGGGTGGGTGCTCACTTTGGGCTTGGTGCTCCGCTGCAGGACGTCCAGGAGCTGTCTGCGGAAGCCTTCCAGCTGCGAGAGGCCGATCCTGGGGAGGAAGGAGATGGGGCATCAGCTGGGCCTGGTCAGGGGCCCGAGAGGGATGGGAGGAGGACACATGCCCAGCCCTCCGCAAGGAAATGGATGACAGGTCACGGGGCGGGGGGTGAGGAGGAGTGGGCAGCTCCACAGAGGAGAGCCAGGAGGGAGAGAGCAGGCATGGGTTGGGGGCCTCTCCGGGGAGATGGGAACTGGAGAGAGATGATGGGGGCTGGGGCCGGGGCAAGCCTGAAGGGAGGGACAGCATGGCAGGAGGCCACGGGGTGGGGCAGGGGGACTCGCCTGGGGACGAGGTCTTTGCCCAGCACCACCGCAGTCACAAACTCCTTGGAGTACTCCATGGCGTCCTCACTGCAAGGGAAGCCGAGGTGGGCGCTCAGGCCCAGGGGAGGGGGTGGTGGTGCTGGGGGTGGGCGCGGCTCAGCCAGGAGCAGGCCCTGCTTGGGAGTCCCAGGGTTCGCCCCTGCACGCAAGGCCTTCCAGGGAGCTTGCCGGTGCCGGGCCTTGCTGGGGCAGATCCCGGGGTCCACGTGGCACTTTCCAGGGCCACCCCCTGTCCTCCACTCCCCAGGCCACCTCCCAGGCCTCTTGTGACCAGAAGCCAGCTGCCCAGCCCAGCCCCAGCCCCCCGCCCCCACCCGCCCCGGCCCCCTCTGAGGCCCCGGGCACTCACCTCAGCAGGCCCCCTGGCGGGGAGTAGGCGAAGCACTTGAGGGTTGGGTACTGTGGGCGCAGGAGGAAGGAGAGGATGGCGGCGGTGCCTGCACCCAGGGAGTGGCCCACCACGATCAGCCCATAGTGTTTGGTTCCACGGCCCTGGGAACCGAGAGCGGCTTGAGGGCCCCACCCAACGGCCCACCAGCCAGCAGCAGCCAGCATCAGGGAGGCAGAGGGACTCCCCAGGATACTGGGGTCCGGTCTGTGCTGTGTGGATGATGCTGGGGTAGAGGGAGAGCCCAGTTAGGTCCCCACAGGGTGAATGATTTTTTTAGACTCTTCTAACGAACTCCTACTTATCCTACAAAGCCTCACTCAGAGGTTACATCCCTGGGGAAGTCCTCCCTGGTTTTCCAGGGGTGGCCCACTCCTGCCTAGGCATTGGGTCTGTACCTAGGATAGACCCTCTCGCTACAGTGACTATGTCCTACCATAATCACTCGGTTACCTGTCCCCACACCTCTGACTCCACTAGACTGACGCTCCCTGAGGCCAGAGGCTGCTCTGGACAGCAAGTGTCCAGTGGGTGGGGCTCAGACCGCCCCCGGCAGAGCACCCCCTTCTGTCTGCTCTGTGACTGTTTCCCTGTCATTCCACTCCGTATTTTGAGCTTCTCTATAGCATTGCCTTCTGGCAAATGGCTCTGCAGCCATGGGACTCAGCATCTCCGAGCCTTCAGAGTCCGGCACAGGGCAGGCGTCCAACAATGAGGTAGGGTTGAGTAGGGCGCCCACAGCGGCTGGCACAGAAGAGGAGGGCTCAGCGGGCCCAAGCGAGGAGCATGAGAGCCAGGGTCAGAGGGGGCCGGGAGCCCGGCCCGAGGGGAGGGGAGCTGGGCGTGACAAGGCCGTGGTGGCACAGAAAGCCCCTCACCAGGTCTCGCCCGAAGGCCTGGGACAGGACCATCTCCTGCTCCAGCTTCTTCTTGATGTACTCGGCTGAGAGGACCATGCCCTGGGAAAGAGGAGCAAGGAGGGTGTGAAGGGACGCCGCCAGTGAACCCCCAACACACAGTGACCCGAGCCCCACCCTGCCCACTTTCCCGATGGGTCCTCACAACCCAGCTGTGGGGCTAGTGGACACCTGGATCCCATGACTTCCATTCCACAGGTGAGAAAACCGAGGCTCGGAGGGCTGGCATGTCTGGCAGACACTTGGTGATCTCTTCCCAGCCACCTCTCAGGCTCTTCCAGGGACGGGCTCTGGGCCCGGCAGGGCTGGGGCTATCTCAGCCGGTGGGCCGCAGTGCCCCTTCCAGACCAGTCCACACCTCTGACTGGCCTCTTCCGGGAAGCCCAGCGAGCAGAGAGGGACTCCTACCACAGCGGCCGCTGGTGAGGGCAGGGGAGCAGGCAGAGCAAGGGCCCAGCCCGGGGTGGGTACCTTGTGACCCAGCCAGGTGCCATGGTGACCCTCCACGGGGAGGCGCTCAGCGTCGCCGGTCAGGTCGGTCAGGGCGTCCTTGGGAGAGAGGAGATGGGGTGAGGGCGGGCTGAGGACCAGGAGGGGAGGCAGGCACCCCGGGGCTAGAGAAGGCACAGGCCGCATACCTTGGGGGACAGGGTCCCCCGGATGCTGATCACCACCTTCTTCTTGTCATGGTCCACCGCCACATAGAAGGGCGTCTCGTAGACCTGGGAGGTGGGCAGCGTGTGAGCCTGAGCGACCCTGGGAGGGGCCGGGCCTGGGGGGAGGGACCCACACAGGCTGCTCTGGGCAGCAGACCCCAGCCCTGCCCGTCCCTGCCGGGCCTCACCGCATCGTGGCAGGAAGTGTAGACGATGTCCACGGCAGTCATGTTCTCATCCAGGAAGTGGCGCCGGATGGCAATGGCGTTGCAGCCGCAGCAGTTGTCCTCCTCGATGGTGACTCCAGGGGCGAACCGGGGCCGTGCAGGGCACAGGCAGCATCTGCGGCGGGGGCAGGGCTCAGGGACAGGACCCCTGGTGGAGCAGCTTTCTCCCACTGTCCTCCCTGGAACTGGCCCCACCTTCTCTCCAAAGTTGCCCCTGCCACGTCCCCAGGACTGCTGCGTGGCCAGGCCCGCTGCCCTGGCCTCCTCTCACTTAGCTCTTGGTGGAAGGCGACCCTGTGGCCACCCCCTCCTCGATATCCCCCCAGGGCTAGCAGTCTCCTGGCTGGGCCTCCTCTGGGGTGCCCCAACACTGCAGGCTCCAGGCCCAGCTCAGGGCCTCCACTCCGTCCAGCTCCACTTGCTTCCCAGGCGCCCCCTCCATCCTGAGCTTTAGACGCTGGATGCTCGTGGACCCATTCTGGACCTGCTCCCGACCCCCAGGTTCTCCATCCAATGGACTCCCCAGCCTCTCCCCTCAGGTGCTCACAACCCTCCAGGCCCAAACCTCGCCCATGGCTGCCCACTCCGGTCCTCCCAAGGTCTTCCCCAACCCCCCAAGGGGCTTGGCCTGCAGTCATCTGCGGCCCCTCGGCCTTCCCTCCCCACAGCCACGCCACCAGGTCAACACGTGGCTCAGCTCTGCCTTCAGGCCGGGAGCCGACTCAGCCCTCACCACCCCTCCACCCCCACTCCGCCCCCACTCCTTGCTGCGGCCTCAGATGGCCTCTCCATCCACACTCGCCCCCTACGTTCTCAACTCAGCAGCAGCATGACACTCTTGAGAGAAGTCAGGCCGTGTCACTCTTCCACTGAGACCCTCCAGCGACGCTCTCTCTACCCTGACCCTAGCCTCTGTGACCTGCTGCCTCCGACTCCTCCCCTCGCCCCCTCCGCCTCCCTCAGAGGCAGTGGACAGACTCCAGCCCCAGTGCTGCAACAGCAATGTTCTTCCAAAAGCCGGAGACTGGTGGCTTGAGCCCCTGCACCCTTGGGCCTCAGTTCAAGATCGCATCAGTGAGGTCTCCCCGGCCACCTCGCCTAGTGCAGCCAAATCCCCCCGCCCCCACCCTGGCACTCCTATCCTGACCAGACATCCAGCTTCAGATCCAAACACAACCCCTCTCCACCTCTGTGCTGTTCCCCTCCCCACTGGGCAGTGGTGCCACTCACAGCTCTGCGCAGTGCAACTCATAGCCCTGTCCCCAGCGCCCCAAACAGTGCCAGGCACAAGGTGGGCTCCCCACAAAAACGGATGAGGCAGGCTCCGGGCTGAGTACCCCCCCAGGTGCATCGGCTCCTTAGGCCACTAGAGGGTGTCAGCACCCAGCAGGTTGGGCTCCGGGAGCCAGGCATGCACGTGACGGGGCCTGCCAGCTGTCACGGGATGACAGCTGAGATGTGATTAAGAATCTGGGATTTGGGTGGCGCTGGGAGGTCTGGTTTGAGCAGCACCTACAGGCTGCTACACACTTTTGCCAAGGAAGTCAGTAGGCCTGGACCAGGGAGAGCTGTCCCCACACTGCCAGGTCAAGTCGCGTCTGGCCTGGATCTCAGCGCTGAGCTATGCTCAGGAAGCTGTCCCTCTCCCCAGTCTTGGCTGTGCATGAGGCTGGAGAAGTGTGGCCTTTGGAGACTGACGGCTTGTGTTTAAATCCTTGCTCTGTGTCACTTCCTGGCTCAGTTTCCTCCTCTGTAAGTGGGCGCTGACAGCGACTTCCCAAGGCCAGCGTGAGATCAAAGACTCAAGACGCAGAAAGGGCCTGGCACACAACAGGCGCTTGATAAATGGTGGCTCCCCTCTCCCCAGTGAGAGGGCTACCCCTGAAGCAGCAACTGGAGAGCTGGGAACTGGGGAGGGCAGCAGGGCCAGTACCCGGGACAGGAAGGGCCTGCAGCATCTCCCATGGCCGTGCTCCAGCCTCGAGGAGGCCATGGGAGCCTGAGTGTGGGCTTTATATGCCCAAGGGAGGGAGACCCGCCATATATCCAGGGCAGGCTGGGGTCGAGGGGGTCTCCTGAGGGTGGTCAGGCCAGGGTGGGCCTGGCTCACCAGGCTCTGTGAGGGACCCGAGGCGGGCGGGCAGCCCTCCTTCCTCCAGCTGGCACAGGGAGCCAGGCTGCTGTGGGCAGACTGGGGTGCTGAGAAGGGCATCTGGCCTCTATCCTCTACCCTGACATCTGGGCTGTGGGCCTGCCTGCAGGCCTGCCTCTTCTCTGTCCCACAAGCCCCTGGTTCTTCTGGGCAGGGGCCAGGTTGGGCCCTCATGGGGTCTGAGGACGCTCTGTCCTCTCTGTAGCACCAAGAAGTCTGATGCAAACGCCAATATCCCTCCTATCCGCAGGGCACCAAAAGTTCCCAGGCTGCCAGTGACTCCAGGGATTCTGAAACACCCTACAGGCAGATAGGACATCACCTGCTACAGATGAATAACCAAGGTTCCAAGAGCTGTCCCCACACTGCCAGTGAGGAGAGGAGCACAGCCTGCCAGAACCCAGGTCTCAGGACTCCTGGCCCAGTGCTCATTTTGAGAAATTCTCAGCCACCCTCGGGACTCCCAAGGAGCAGGAAGGGATGCCAGGCACATGCAGCTGACAAAGACGGGAAGGGGGCAGGAGGTGTCCTGTCCTCTTGTCAGCCCTGGGGAATGGTGGGACTAGAGCCTGAGAGACAGCCACTGCCTGAGAGGAGCGGGTGTGGCTGCTGTCGGTCCCCAGGGCAGGGGTGTCGAGGACAGAAGCCTCCCACCCAGCACGCCAGCCTTTCCGGAGCAGGAGCCCAGAGAGCTGTCCTCCTTCTGCCTGGTGTGGGTTGAGGGTGGAGGCGCCAGGGCGGGGCCAGCTCCTCCAGGAGCAAGTGCCTTTCTCTGGCCCACTTTGAAGAGCAGAGTCCTCCCAGCCCCCACATGGTGGGCTGAGGGCCCAGCAGGCTGGGCCAAGGCCTCTCCCAGCGCCCTAGGAAGAAAGCTGAAGCTTTTAACTAAAGGGCCTCCTTGGTGCCTTGCCAGAGACCTCCATGGGTCAGGCCTCCCTGCCAGGCAAACCCTTTCCTCCAGAAAAGCAGAGCACAGGAGAGGAGCCGAGAAGGGAAGGAGTGGGCAGAAGGGAATGGTGAGGGGGCAGAGGGAGAGAGCAGTGTGGATATTATGCAATATCTCATTTAGTCCTCTCCAAAAAATTCCATGAGGCATGCATCCATATCCCCATTACACAGATAAAGAAACCAAGGCCAGCCGGCACGTGGTGGCTCAGGCCTGTAATCCCAGCGCTTTGGGACAACAAAGTGGGAAGATCGTTTGAGGCCAAGAGTTTGAGACCAGTCTCGGCAACACTGCAAGACTCTGTCTCTACAAAAAACTAATTTAAAAAATCAGCCAGGTGTGGTCATGGCACACCTGTAGTCCCAGCTACAAGGGAGGCTAAGGCAGGAGGATCACTTGAGCCCAGGAGTTCGAGGCTGCAGTGAGCTATGATCGTGCCACTGCACTCCAGCCTGGGCAACAGAGCCAGATCCTGTCTCTAAAAAAAAAAAAAAAAAAAAGATATACTAATAATAGAACAATAGCTAACAAAAAGAAACGAAGGCTCAGAGAAGTAGACCAACTTGCCCAAGGCTGCCAAGTGGCAGAGTCTGGATTCAAACCCTGGACTGCATGATTCCAAAGCCCACTACGTCACTGCCCAGGGATAACGCAGAACTAAAAAGGCTGAGGCCCAGAGAAGGCCCGGGAAAGAACTAACTCAGGCCACAGGGAAGGTAGAGGCAGGGAGGCAGGCATAGGCTGGCTTAGGCGGCGCCTTCGCAGACACCGACTTCGCCACCTCAGCGCCTCCTCACATGCCGGCAGGGAGATGGGATGGGGTACTTACGAGCAGGACCGCGCCAGCTGGCAGAGGCCGCAGGCGGGCTTCCGCATCAGGTACATGGGCCACCCGTAGGCAGCCAGGGCAAAGAGCATGTAGTAGCAGACCTCTTTGTAGCGGAGCATCTCTTGCTGGAAGAGAGGAGGCGGAGGGCGGTCACTGCCTGCCCCTCCTGCCTGCAGCCGCAGGGCCCAGTGAGTCTCCTGGGTGGGAGCCAACAGGCCCGCCCCTCAGCCAGGAGGGGTGGTGGTGCCCCCTGAGATGTGGGGCCCAGGCCTGGGGCGGGAGGCTCCTCCAGGCGCTAATTGCATTTCCCTAATTATCTCCATGCAACCAGGGCAGGGACCCTCCCGAGACCTGTCCTGTTGCTCCAGTCACAGAACTAATGATTTGGGGACAGAATACCACCCGGAGCCCTGGGCCGATTTCCTTGCCTGTTTTCCAGGGAGAAAGGGAAGAGAGTGAGGGGCATGAGTGGCAGTCACCCCGCCTCAGTGATCAGGCCTCAGAAGGAACTTTGCTGCTGGGAAAACTGAACCCTGAGAGGCCTCGGCCCTGTGGCTGTGGGTGTCAGGCCTTGGGCAGTAGGGCGGGCCATGCCGGGCCAGGGAACAACAGGTTGCTGAAGCTCTCTGGCCCTCAGGTTCTTTGCCTGCAAATACAGGGGACTGCCAGTAGCTCCCCAGGCTCTGGGGAGGGCCATGTCTGGGGGAGATTGGGATCTCCCTGGAGAAAGGAGCCAGTTTGAAGCCCAGTGTGTCTGAGGCCTGATGGCTGCTGTCAACACAGCCTGCTTATCAAGCTGGAGGGAGGTGGAGGCAGAGGTGTCCCAGCAAAGTGGCTTCCAGTCTTTCCTGAGTGCCCCAGGCACCAGGAGGACTCCAAGTACTTAGAGGGAATTAGTCACCTTGTAAAAGTTAAGGAGGGTGATTAGTCACCTTGGGAAGTGAAATAGGGATCCCCTTAATCAGGGCCCAGAGGGTGGAAACAGCCCTGGCCGGCTTGTCTGCTCTTCAGGAATGAGAGTGGAGAGAGGGGTAATCATCCTCACAGCAAGGAGCTCCCAGCAGGCAGGGCGGGCAGGGCGGGGTCAGCAGCCCTGCCAAGCAGCAGGTGTGGACCCGGCACCTTGAGACACAGTTGCCTGCCCTGCCCCCTCCCCTGTGAGGGGTGAACAGGAGGAGGTGACAGGAACAGCCAGGACACAGCCTGGCAAGCAGGGGCTGGTGTGGGGCACTTGCTATGGACGTGGTTGGCTCAGAGAGGATACAGGCGCCTGTTTTGGGGGGTGTGGGTGGACGGGCAGAACGGAGGCTGCACCAAGGACTGAGGTTTCTGAGGGCCTGAACCCCAGCTACCGCTGTGGGACGTACATGGCCTGTGTCCTCCTGGCACTGCTCTGGGGAAGTGTGTGTGGCGTCATTTCACAGGCGCAGGGTCAGGCTGAAGGATGAGGGACTTGCTCAAGGTCATAGCGACAGGTGGTGGAGCAGAGGACACCTGTGCCAGTTTGCTTTCCGCAGCAGGGCCAGTTTCTCCTGGCTACCAGCTGTGGTTTTGGCCTGGGCTGTGCTGGGTCTGGGCTGGGGCCCCCCGCCACCATGGTACAGACACCCCCTTTCCCTGTCACACACTGGAGTGCTTGAGAAAAGGTTATACTACTAAAAAAGCTCAGAAGCCAAAAAGCTGCTCACCTGGTGAGGCACTGCCGTCTCAGAAGGCCAGGACCGCACATGTCTGAGCCTGGCTAAGTGGTTCGGGGGATTTGTTTATAGAACAGCGTGACTTGGGGGCCCTTGTGGGGACATGATCTTAGCAGAAAGACTCTCTAAAGAGCCAAGAGGGAGGTATGTCGGGAGCAGTCTGGCTGACACCGGGAGGCGGCTGGGAAGGGTTCTGCTTAGGCCACTGTGGCAGAGAGATTGGGACGGGGTCAGGTGGGGTGGCGGGAGATCTCTTGACTCACCGAGTTCTTGAGGTCGAGGTACTTGGTGTTTCTGGTCACTGGCATCCCAGACAAGAAGGCCAAGATGTCATTGTTTGCCTGCGAAACAGGCATGTGAAGAGGGGCACAGGCTGCCCAGGCCCGGCTGTGTGGCTGAGGAAGGGGTCCAGGGCCCCAGGCTCTGCCTGCCCCCAAAGGCGTGAGAAGACCAAGCACGCAGCTCCCAGCTCTGACTCCTGGCTGCGGCAGATTCCCAGATGCTCCTCTTCCACCCAAAGCATCAAACCCCTGAGGCCTCTCCTACCTGCTTCTAAGGGAAGGAGATTTTATAAGAGATGCTGAGAGACCCTAGGTGAATGAGTATGCCATGGGGCCGCAGGCGGGGCCAGAGTGGCAGATGTAGGAAGCTGAGGCACTGGGCTCTCCCTGTCCATGGGGCCCTGCGATGACAAGCCCTCTGAGGCCGGCCCCCGAATATCTGCTCAGGGAGCCACTCAAGCACAGGTGACCTCCAGAAAAAAGGTGACCTCCAGGGCCCAAGAGGGCATGTGGTCGCCGGGGAGCTGTCAGCGGTAGGGGCCACAGGAAAGGGGCCTGACAGGAGGGGGCTTGGGGGCCACCTGGGGAAGGGGCCTCGGCGCTCACCTCGTCCAGCACAGCATTGCGCTTGGCCCGCTGCCGTTGCCGGAGAAGCACCAGGCCGGCGATGATGTCAGACGGCACAATGTCGAGGTCCCGGAAGAACTCGGCAAAGAGGTAGGCGATCTCTGAGTAGGCATCCTGTGAGGTCCAGGGAGGCAGGAGGCGGGGCAGGGCGCAGGAGAGAGGCCAAGAGACCAGGAGTAAATCCCCCAGGGCTGGAGGCCAGAGAAGCGGGTGTCCGCTTGGGGCCCCTGGGCAGGTTCACCCGGCACCTCCGCAGTGCCCGCTGGGCCGACCCCATGTGGCCCTGTGCAGCTGTGACCCTGAGGGCCCTGTCTGGGGGTCTGGTTGATCTGGCAGCAGCTGCTGGGGACAACACAGACCCTTGTCCCTCCACTCCCCGTCTTGCCATTCCTCGGCATCCCTATGGTACTCATGGCCTGCCAAGAACAGTGCCACCTCGAGCCATTTCCTTTTCTTTTTCCCTAGGCACCCGGAATTGAGGCCCGAACGGCCCTGGCTTGTTTCTCCTCTCGGCTTTCTCTCAAGCGGAGAAACCAAACTAAGCTCCTGGCTGCTTCCCCTCACCAGCTGTGGCCTTCGAAGGCCTTCCTAAGGGTTTTGTGGAGCTTCACAGGTCTCAGGCCCCTCCCCCAGCTGCCCATGGGCCACCTGCTCAGTGACTCCCACAGTGTGCCCCAGAAGGGGTGTTGTCACTGGCCCAGGGGCCCCTCTGGCTTCTTCCTTCTAGGCCTCTGGCCTGAGGACAGCCCACGTCTGGGCCTCGGGGAAGGAGGCATGCCCTGCTTGCCTGCGCCCTCTGAGTCCTCCCAGCCTGTGCCACACAGCAGAGTGTCCCTTAACCAGTCAGGAGAGACTGAAGGAACAAACCCGTGGCCGCCACTTCTGTCCCACTGGGCCTCACCCTGGCAGCCTGGCAAATTGTACGCGAATAAATCAAGGGTTGCAAACTCAAACGCCTCACGGGCTAATGAGCCGACAGACCGACGGAGCCAGGCACTGCTAGCTCCAGCCGACCAGCCTGGGAGAAGACCCGCCTTGCCAGATTCAGAAATACAGAAGTTTCTGTAAACACCCCTGATTTTTAAATGTTGGCATCCAAATCAAACTTTCAAGCACCACGGAATAGGCTGGTCGAAGCATGCTCTGACAGGAACTGGCCCCTGGGCTGTCAGCGTCTAACGGGACCCTTGCAGGAGGGCTCCCGTGACGTGCTCCCTTTTCGTCAGACTCTGACAACAGCCCCAGCTCTGCCTCTGTGCCCAAAGGGTGGGCGTGCCCTCCACGGGCCCTAGCAGGCCCAGCCTTCATCTGCCCGGGGACCGCTCCCTGCCCTTTGCGTGGTCTGTCTGCAACCTCAGCCCTGGGCCGTGACGCTTTGGGCCTCCCCAGAGAGCCCCAGGGGGTGCTCCCCACCCACCGGAGAACCTCGGGGGGCTTTCTTCCACTTGATTACTCACTCTGCGGCTCACCAGGGGCCGCTGGTAGGCAGGAGCCACTCGAGGCCTCCCGGTGGCTTCCGTGGAGGGCACTTTGCTGTCTGCCCCAGGGAGGCGTGGTCTCCTGACCTCACTGGCTCTGCTACTAACTAGCTGTGGGACGCTGAGCAAGGCACTCCACCTCTCTGGGCCTCAGCTGCCTGATCTGCAAAATGAGGGGTGGGACAGGATGACCTCTAAGGTCCCTGCCTCCACTGCCAGGCTCCCCTTGAGGATCCCAGGGCCCTGCCCACCCCCCGACTCCCTCCCACCCCTGCTTCATGGGCCACCCCCGGCTGGCTTTGCCTTCCTTCGTCAGCGCCCTGGTACTACCAGTTCTGGCCCGTCTGGTCGCTCCTCGGAACTCCCAGGTGCTGAAGGCTGACTGTGTGCCCCGTCTAGGACTGTGCTAGCACATGATGACAGCTTTGCCAGGCCTTTCTGATTACATCGCTGCTGATGATACTCTATTTTTCTTTTCTTTTCTTGGGTCAGAGTCTCACTCTGTCGCCCAGGCTGGAGGGCAGTGGCATGATCAAGGCTCATCACAGCCTCGACCTTCTGGGCTCAGGCCAGAAGGATGCCAGGCGATCCTTCCGCTTCAGCCTTCCAAGTAGCCGGAAGTACAGGGGCACTTTACCACACCCGGCTAATTTATTGTAAAGACAAAGTCTCACCAAGTTGCCCAGGCTGTTCTCGAACCCATGGGTTCAGGCAATCCCCTCACCTCGGCCTCCCAAAGTGCTGGGATTATGAGCTTGAGCCACCGTGCCTGGCCTAAGTTTTTGATTTTTTTTTTTTTGAGTTGGAGTCTCACTCTGTCGCCCAGACTGGAGTGCAGTGGCTGCTCCCGGTCACCGCAGCCTCGACCTCCTGGGCTCCGGCGATCCTTCCGCCTCAGCCTTCCAAGTAGCTGGAATTACAGGCATGCGATACCACGCCCGGCTAATTTTTGTCTCGCTGCCCAGGCGGGTCTCGAACCCGTGGGCTCAGGCAATCCACTCACCTCAGCCTCCCAAAGGCACGGGATTACAGGCTGAGCCACCGAGCCCGGCTTGTTTTTGATTTTTTGTAGAGCCAAGGTCTCACTATGTTGCCCAGACTGGTCTCGAACTCCTGGGTACAAGCAATCCTCCTGCCTTGGCCTCCCGCAGTGCTGGGATTACAGGCCTGAGCCACCATGCCCAACCTATGGATAGGCTCCCTTTCTAAGTCATCAGATTGCCCTGACTGAGTATTGCTTCTCCTAAACTAATTAAGTTCCAAGGGAGTCTATGCAATCTCTAGTCTTTCTGTCCCTGTGCAAAGCAAGTGAATGCTGGAGAGCAGGCTGCCACCAGCCTTCTCTCCACCCCCCCCCCCGGCTTTGCCGAACGAGTGAAAGGCCCCTGAACCACGGGACCCTAGGACGGAGACCCAGGGAGCGCCTTCCCAGTACTTACTGACTGGGAGTCCTTTGTCCGGGTGCAACAGAGGAACACTTTGAGCCGGCGCGACCAGCTGGTGGCCTGACCCTCCTCCAAGCGGTGTCTAGAGGTGGAGAGTCAGCACATGGGAGGTCAGAGGGCAGGACCAGAAGAGCGGGGCCCAGACATGACGGAAACAGGGTCGCCTACCAAGGGCTCCCCACAGGGGGGTCTGCGGGAGAACAGGGGCCAAGCCCAGCCTCAACTGGGTGGCCAGCAACCCATCTGCTGGCCAGCAGGGCACCGTCAAGTGCACTCCTGCTGGCCTAAAGTGGGTGTGCCGTCTGGCAAGGGCCAGGGGGCGGCTGGCAATGCTCCCTGGCCTTTGAAAGACTGAACACAGCCATGGCCTGGTGCTGTAGAGCAAAAATCCCAAAGTGGGGGTTACCCTGCAGCTCAGATGTCCAAGGCTCACACTCAGAATCTGAGGAGGTGTCGCCTTGTTCCAAGGCTAATACAGATGGACCTGCTCTTTCCCCAGAAGGATCTCAGATCCTCATGTACTCTGTACTTACAGGAAATTGACAGGCTACCTTTCTCAATTCCTTGGGTCTGATACCCAGGCAGGGAGAGGGCACCACCCCTCATCTGCATGGCTGCCCCCTGCCCCTTCTCACCCCTGTCCTCTAGCCCCAGCCCCAGTGGATCTTGCTGCCTGGATGGGGAATCGGGGTGTTCAGGACTCTGTAGCCAAAGGCAGAGCAATGGGCCAATTACCCACAGAGGCTCCTCCTAGGCTGAGTGTCCAGAGTCTGGGTGTTTTGAGCATAAAGATAATAGATCCAACATTAACAATGTAAACTTCGAATCAGGTGCAGTGGCTCATGCCTGTAATCCCAGCATTTTGGGAGGCTGAGGAGAGAGGACTGCTTGAGCCCAGGACTTTGAGACCAGCCTGGACAACACAGCAAGAGCTCCTCTCTACAAAAATTAAGACATTAGCCAGGTGTGGTGGTACATGCCTGAAGTCCCAGCCACTTGGGAGTCTGAGGCAAAAGAATCACCTGAGCCTGGGAGGTCAAGGTTGCGGTGAGTCATGATCATGCCACTGCGCTCCAGCCTGGGGGATAGATGAGACCCTGACTCAAAAAACAAAACAAAACAGTAGATGTCCAAGCTGAGCAAGAAGGGGCTGGCTTGTTTCTGTGTCGTGTGCTGGCCCCGAGTGATCAGGCGGGGAAGGGGAGGGTGCCCTCAGATGGGGTCAAGGCACTTAACATCCACCAGGAGTGACAGGCTGGGCCTTCCCTGAGACTCATGGCTCTTTCCTGTGCCTAAGGACCATTTCTCTCTCCCCAGTCTGGGCTCCCCAGGCAGCCAGCCACAAGGAGAGGGTAGCAGGTCCTCGGGGCCACAGGAGGGGGTAAGGAAAGGGCACAGGTAGTTGCTGCTCTGGGCATCTGCCAGTTCTTAGGGACTTGAGCAGCCTAATGTCCTCAACCAATGTCCCACCTTCCAGGTGCTTGATGAAGGGGCAGTGTGCTGGCCAAGCTGGGTTCCCAGAGCATCAACATTTTTTTTTTTGAGTCGGGGTCTCACTCTGTCTTCCAGGCTGGTCTCAAACTCAATACAATAGCATGATCACAGCTCACCACAGCCTCGACCTCCTGGGCTCAGATGGTCCTCCTCAGCCTCCCAAGTAGCTGGGATACAGGGACATGCCACCATGCCCAGCTACTTTTTAAAATTTTTTGTAGAGAGGAGGTCTCGTTCTGTTGCCTAGGATCGAGCAGTCCTCTTGCCTCAGCCTCCAAAAGTGCTGGGAATACAGGTACGCACCACCACGTCTGCACTTCTGTAAAGCTCTCTAACCTAATGGGGTTCAAGAGAATTTCCCGCTGAGCCTTGGGTCTGCTGGAGTCTGACGTTCCACTTCGCTGCAGTGCCCTCTATACACACCAGGGGGCGGATGACTGTGGGAACGTGCGTGAGAAAGTGACAGGTTTGGTTTAGTGCATTAGTAAGGCTATGGAAACCAAGGCAGGGATGCACGCACTCAGTCTGGGCAGAAAGTTCCCGGGCCTAGCAGTCCTCTGCCCTGCAGCCCACTTGTCTGCAAAGATCCAAGGTCAAGGCACCCAGGGCACGGTGCTGGGATAACTACCCCCAGATATCACTGGAAGGAGACTGGGCCAAGGGCCTAAACAGCTTTCTGAGTTCCAAAGCCCAAAATAACCCAAGAGTGTGGGGCAGCAGGGGTGGGCATGTCCCCATGCTGGGAAGCCGTTGGCTTGAAAACGTCCTTATAAGAAAAAACTTAGTTTCGGAGCAGAGAGAGCATGTAAAGGGGAGCCTGAGAGGCAGTCGCACGTAACCCAACCCCCAGACTCCCTGCAGGAGCTGGGGGTTGAGGGCCTGGGTGCTCCGAGGCCTCCCATTCACCCTCACGGGCCCTGAAGCTGCAGAAAGGCATTCCAATTAAATTGGCAGCAACTGCAGGTCCCCAACTGCTAAGGTGAGGCTGTCCTGGCCCCAAAGACAATACCCAGAGTCAGGAAAGGAAGATTTTTTCTGCAGGGCCCAAGGAGCCCAGAAACCAGGTTGGGTGGTGGTTTGGCGCGAATAGATGGGATGGGGGGTGGTGGCGCAGGACTCTGGGGCCTTGGCTCTCAGGCCTGACATTTTGGGCTGGGAGGTGGCCAGACCAGGCGTGGGTGTGGCCCTGGCTGTAGGGCCCAACGGATATGGAAGGTCCGAGGGGGGTGGGATGGGGGATTTCCTGTTCCTGGGGTGAGGGCCTGTCCTGCACCCCACCAACATGCCCTGGACAAGTGCCTTTCCCTTTGGTACTTGGATTCCTTGTCTGTAGAATGGGTCTCCCAACTGCACCAGGGTTGGCAAGAGGACTAATGGTGTAAAGTGCCCATCCTAGGGCCTAACTCCTAGTAGAAATTAAAATAGCAAGAGTCACCGGGACCCATCTGGAAGCCCCGTCTCTCTTTCTTCCAATAAACAGGAATTATTGTAGCCTTCCTGCGTCTTCTCTGCCATGGCACACTTTCCTCACTCTTTAAAACACCTTGCAAAACTCGCCCCCTCCAGGAAGGCTTCCTTGATTACCCACTTCCAACCAGCCCCTGAATCTTAGAGGCAGTCTAGCCTATTGATTAAGCAAGAGTGCCAACACCAGACTGCCTGGGCCAGTTCCCAGTAACCTTAGGCAAGTTACATAACCTTTCTGTACCTTGGTTTCTCCATCTTTTTTTTTTTTTTTTTTTGAGTTGGAGTCTCACTCTGTTGCCCAGACTAGAGTGCAGTGGCCGCTCCTGGCCAACGCAGCCTCGACCTGCTGGGCTCCGGCAATCCTTCCGCCTCAACCTTCCAAGTAGCTGGAACTACAGGCGCGCGCTACCACACCCGGCAAGTTTTTTGATTTATTGTAGAGATGAGGTCTCACCAAGTTCCCCAGGCGGGTCTTGAACCCACGGGCTCAGGCAATTCACTCACCTCAGCCTCCCAAGGCGCGGGATTACAGGCTGAGTCATCGAGCCCGGCTTCTCCATCCATATTACAGGGAAGATGACAGTTGCTTCATGGAGTTGTAACTTACTATATGCTGTGGTCAGTGTGGTTTTTAAGTGTCTCCTGCTATTATTGTTGTTATGATGAACACTGATGGTCATGACAACAGTTGCTGTTTGCTAAGCACTTACCACTCATGAGCATCGTGTCAGCCACTGCACACGTATCATCTCATTTAAATCTCACATCAACATCATGAGACAGGAACTGTCATGATCCCACTTGACAGACAAGGAAACTGAGGCAGAGAGCAGCTAAGTCTTTGACTGACGCCCGTACAAGGTAGACATGCAGTTTGGGAGGCCTGGGGCAGCCTCCTGGTAGAGACCTCACCTCTGCCCACTGGCCAGCAAAGCCCACCCAGGGCCTGCCCACCTGCCCAGCCGACTGACCGCAGGTTGTAGGTCCGCAGGTTACGCTGCCTTCTCTTGGTGGCTCTCAGCTTGACGAAAGTGCGGCCCGTGGGGTCGAAGACGCAGAGGACAGTGATGCAGACGCTGAGGATGACCACCCAGTTGCAGACAACCATCCCTGGGGCAGCAGTGGGAAACGAGAGGCGGAGGCATTGGGGACGCCTCCCTGGTTCTGCAGAAAGTGACGTGGGCACCTCCCTACCCCCAGCTGCTTCTGGGACACAAGAGCAAGGCCTGGTCCCAACCTCTGGCTGCATACGTGGCCGTCCCTGCCGAGCCATGACCCCAAGCCTACCCTCAGCACAGAGCGGGCAGCTCTGTAGGCTTCCAAGGGAGCACTGAGGGGCCTTGACAATGGCCCGGGAGCCCCTGAGAGCGATGCAGACTTCAAGGTGAGGGAGCAGCCTTGCCCAGCCAGCCTGCTGCTGCCCTCACAGAAGCCGCTGCTCTCGGGTGGCGCCCACGCTTCTTCCTCTCTAAGCAGGTCCTGTCCTCGCCACCCCTAGGGCTATGAAGGCTCCGGCGGGCTTTGACAGACATACCGAGGGTGACGTTCTTGGCAGTGAGGTCGTTGCAGGAGGTGTAATACTGAGTGAGCCAGACGATGCCCACGATGGCGTAAATGAACTCGATCACCAGGATGGCTGTGAGGAGAGCAGGCCTGGCTGAAGGCTGGCTGTCGTCTGCCCACCTGGGACAGGCCCAGGACCCTCACCCAGCCCCTCTTACCGCAGGGCCTCCAGCCAGCTGGGCGGCAGACCCCCACGGCCCTCTGCCTCCCAGGTCCTGGGGCTGCCCCTCCCCACTCCGTCCTGTTGGCCCAGTCCCTCGCAAGGGGCCCGCCACCTGTCCTAGCTTATGCCCCTTAGTCCCCGGTGCCTCCCTGAGCAGGTGGCTGGACGGGCGGCTGACGAGGAGGCGTTTCCTCGTTCTTTCAGGATTTCCAACTCATATGCCTGAACTCTGGAACCAAATGCTTCTTAGGCCAGTTACCTAATCTCTCTGGGCCTCTGTCTCCTCATCTGCAAAATGGAAGCGACAACATCTATGTCCCAGGACCTCGCCAGAGTCAGGCAAGAGAGTGTTCATTACATGAAACTGCTATTTCCCAGCAAAAGGCCTCTGGACCTTGAGGGAGGAGGAGGGAAGGGCCCAGCAGCTGGGCTGCTCCAGGTCTGCCCCTGCTCAATGCACGAGGCCAGGGTCGGAGGGAAGGGGTTTGAGGTATGGGGTGGGAAGAAATCTGGTGGCCTCACAGGGGGGCAGCATGGGAAGCCCCAGCTAAACAGGCAGCACAGTGTGGCGGCTAAGAGCGCAGACTTTGGAGCCAGATGGCTTGGGTTCAAATCCCAGCTCTGACACTTACACACACACTAGCTGTGTGACCTTGAGTGACCGGTTGACCTCTCTGGCCTCAGTTTCCTCATCTACAGAATGAAGCTAAGAGGCCAGGCAGTGGCTCACACCTATCATCCCAGCACTGTGGGAGGCTGAGGCAGGAGGATCGCTTGAGCCCAGGGGTTGGAGACCAACCTGGGTCACATAGCGAGATCTCATCTCTACAAAGAGAGAGAAAAAAAATAAGGCTAGCCGGGCTCGGTGGCTCAGCCTGTAATCCCGCGCCTTGGGAGGCTGAGGTGAGTGGACTGCCTGAGCCCAGAGTTCGAGACCCGCCCGGGCAACTTGGCGAGACCTCATCTCTACAATAAATCAAAAAATTAG